CATGTGTCTGTTGGCCATCTGGATGTCTTTTTTTTTTTTTTTAAAGATTTTATTTATTTATTTGACAAAGAGAGACACAGCGAGAGCAGGAACACAAGCAGGGGGAGTGGGAGAGGGAGAAGCAGGCTTCCTGCTGAGCAGGGAGCCCCATGCGGGGCTCGATCCCGGGACCCTGGGACCATGACCTGAGCCGAAGGCAGATGTTTAACCAACTGAGCCACGCAAGCACCCCTGGAAATCTTTTTTGGAGAAATGTCTGTGCATGTCTTCTGCCCATTTTTAATTGGATTATTTGGCTTTTGGGTGTTGAGTTGTAGCAGGTTTTTTTTATAGATTTTGGATACTAACCGCTTACCAGATGTGTCATTTGCAAATATCTTCTTCCATTCAGTATTTTGTCTTTTATGTTTTTATGTCTTTTTATGTTGTTTCCTTTGCTCTGCAGAAGTTTTTTATTTTGATATAGTCCCAATACTTTATTTTTGGTTTTATTTCACCTGAGATGGTATTTTAAAAAGAGAAAAGAGGCTTTTTGAAATACAGACTGCTAAAAGTGCTGTTATGCCCAGACTAGCACCTCTGATAAGAAGCCAGTATGTCCCAAAAAGTTCACCTCGAAGAAAACTTGGATTCTTCCTCTGTCTTTGTGATGTAAATGTTCTACCCCCATCTTCTCTGGGACCTAAAAGCCATTCTTTGAAATACAAATTTAAAGAAGTTTCTCATCATCAAAACAAAAAAGAGGTTGGAAATCAGGCCTATAATGTCCTCACCACAAATATTAGTAAAAATAAAGGCTATAAGATTTTTGTTTCTATCTGTCTGTCTGTATGTCTATGTATCTAGCCAAAATTAGTTTGTAAAAGAGCTCTATTTAGTTGGTTTGAAGGCAAGCCCTAGTAAGGATTGGGCATTCTAAAACTCTTAGAAAGAAACTAACCCAAATGTTTTTCAAGTTCTGAAAAACAGATGATCTGAAAAAATATTCTGTATTGAAGCTAATTTAAGGTTGCTGGTTTAAAATAGACGTGTTTTTAACGTTACCAGCATTAAAATTAAAACTTTTATTCTGCATGGGTTTACTTAGAGTCAAATAAGCTGATGTTATCTATGTTACAAAATGTTTACAAAAATAATCATCATAGCTTGGGAGGATGACTGACTTTGCTATCTCTTGAAGTTTTTATGGGTGACTTAAGCATACTTGTTAAGAACAAGTAAATTGAATAGATGTAAATAAGAAAAAAATTTTTAGGTCAACTTTTTAAACAGTTTCCCCCAGATCTTTTTGGTAACCCTGAAACTTTGAAGTTTTGCTAAGTTTAAGTGATGAATTATGTTGAATTCATTGAATATCTAGGTCATTTCCAAATTAAACAAAATAAGAAACAATTACTAAGCATAAGTTTATCTACTTTTGGCTTCCTTATTACAGAGAAACTAAAAATCAATTTCGGTCTGTTAGTAAACATGTTTTGTGCTTTATTAAAAGATTACACTATGAAGAAACTCATGTTCCTAGAAATTATAAAATGCATTCATAAATTTGCCAGTGTAAAAATTACTGGTGTAATAGTAATTCACAATTGCTTACTAGTTTTCCCTAGAAATTAAATTTTCTAAGGGTGAGGAATTCTAATATGTGGTATTAAATGTACTAGAAATAAGAGAAACAACTCTGTATGCAAGGAAAGTAAGATACAGGTTTTTGGTAAGAAAAAGTATGAGATATAAAAAAATACATTTTTGTTGAGGGAAAAGAAAACAATTTTGTCCTAAAGTGAGGCTAATTATTTGAAGAGGGAAAACTTAGGACAAAATCTGAATGTAAAAAAAGTTGTAGAAGCTTCATAGCAAAGGAGCCTTTGGAAAGGAATTTTATTTGTGGTCATTACTGGCTAAGATTAAATTTATTTAAGAATGAGTTTTATCATTTGTACACTAGTACAAAATTAGAATTTTTTTTTTCTGTTAAAAGGAAAAAATTTTCTTAGGTTATTGATTTGCTTTTTATAAGAGTTGTAAACAGTTTTCCTTTACCTTTCATGTAATCTGCCTAGAAACACAAAGATGCTGTTTTGTCTCTGTTGGGTCTTTATCAAAAAATCCTGAGCCTTCTTGCTCACAACTATATAACGTTCTGTACTTGCTTTTGAAATCTTTTCTCACTTTGGTTAAATAGATAAGTATTGTTTCAGAATGATCTGTGAGCCCATTTAATCAAACGTTCAAACCTTTTGATATTTTTTTGAGAAACCTGCCAAATTCAAAGTCTAAAATGAAATCTTTTAACCACACTCTGAAATATTCCAGAGGGCCAACGGAACATTTCAAAAGATTTGTTCTCTTTATACAAAGGGAGGTATATTACACTAATTAGGCTTGTTATGTTCAATTACATGGGAAGCACTGGCAATAAGTGATACTAAACCCTCTTAAATTATATTTGTATAGTTATTAAGTGTTTAGAAAATTGTATGAAATCTGATATGTCCTAGTATGTTGTTATTTCAATGTTTTATGTGTCACAGAAACAACCAAATTTACTTGTCCACTGCATTATAATTCATTCTAATCAGCTATATCACTGTGGTCATTTTTAAGTCTTTTATCATTTATAGACACATATACTTTTACTCAGATGCTTTCACAAAAGCTTCCGTGCAGATGTGTTTCATCTTCAGTGAGACTCGTGGAAGGAACTCTGAGTACAGGTTTCTTTTGATGACCTTGATTATAAAACTGAACGGGGTAAGAATTTCTGAAACTAGTGGAAAAACTAGATTCAGGCAGAACAAGAATTAGTAACATGGGACTGAATGAACTGAAGAGGATGACTATAATTTCTGTGACATTTCTGTTAACCATTAATGATTTTTTTAATATTTTTTTTTCAGATTTAAGGGAAAGTTTTTCTCTTATGCTATGACTTACAGCAATTTGATAAATATTTCAGTTTGTTCACAAAGGTATATTTTACCTTTTTCTCTCTACTTGATCTTTCCAGAATTCCTAAAGCTTTCAGTGAGTATTCTTACATTTTCATAACAATTTTTTATTTGCATAAGTTCAATAAAAATTTGTTCTCCTTGTAACAGGACACAATTGGAAACACTGGTTATATTACCACGGTTTTCACTGGAATATTGTATTTGAGGGAGACATGAATAGACTCAGACATGGCCACACAACTTAAGGGTGACTTTATGGAAAGTCTTGCTTACAGGGTTCCAAGCAGCCTTACTAGGTGAGTAAGCATGGTCACTACATTGTGGGTATAAGAACTTCAGGATATTCTGGGGACCTCAAGAAGAAAGGAATTAACCCCTTTAAACTATAAGTATTGTAGGCAAAGTCTCATGGCAAGTAATTTGGCTTGGCTTCTGAACTTCAGAGGCTATTAAAAGTTCAGTCAGAAGATTCCTTACAAAAAGTTCAAGCAAAGCAGATTTAAAAGAGCCTTTAGGATCAATCACTATTCTTGCTGTACTTATATAAAATAATCAGGCCAAGTTTCCTATTTATTTTGCAAACAGATTAGCCTTAATCTGGCTATCTTTGGTAAAAACAAGGGTGATTATAGAGAGAAAAATTTGTTTCACTAACACACCTTTGTGGATATTAGATTCTAACACAGTTCATTATAAACTGGACTAGATCCTGATTTCTTTTAGTTTCCTCCAATGCCTGGCTACAACTCTCCAAATGAACGTCTTTGATTTCTTTGCCATCCTTTTGACTTGGAATCATTTGAGAACTAAAACTGGCCTTTTCCCTGAAGCCCTGCAAACTGAATATGAACAACTTGGTGTAAAATTCAGAGAAATCACTACAGCTCATTTATAGACAATCTTCATGCCTGTTGTTCTATGGGCCACTCAAAACGATCACCAGAAATACCCAAACTACAAAGAAAACCTGTCAGATCACCACCACCACCCCTAAAAGCACCTATCTGAAGATGCTCTAACCCTGCATCTAGAAATCCTCTCGACTATCTACCCTCAGTACTCAGAAACTGGTTTATAAATTTGATCCAGTCCTTAGCCATTGTTTTTTTTATTTCCATAGAAATGCCTCTTATCTGATTATTTGAACCATAGGCTTAACTTTGAGAAGACACCTACATTACTATGTCCTGAAATGAGTTTAACTGAATTGACCTATTGTCAGAACTAAGAGATTCAACAAGAAGGAACAATCTACAGCTCAGTTTGTAATATGTGAAACTTCCAGGAAAGCTTCAGTGGTAGGGACTGTAGAGGCCAAGGGCAGGCCACCCCAAAAATGTCCCCTTTGGCATATTGATTATTTTAAATAAAAGTTACTTAAGAGACAGACTATACAAGAGGGACACTCATATCCCCTTCTGTCTTCCTGAAAGCAGGAAATAAATCTCCCATGTGAAAAGGTACCCTTTTTATACCACACGGTAAAGAGACATTGTAATTTAAGAGCTAAGAAGGTTACATAGACAACCCTGGTTACTTGTTATTAATTTACTCCCTCAGTCCAGATTCTGTTTAGAATTCCTTACTAATTGAGGCTCCCATGAGGCTCCCAAAGTTAAGTTTTATTTGTCCTGCCAATTCCTTATAGATTTATACTCTGTTTATAAAGCATAAAAAACTGCCTGCCTTGGTCATTTCTTTGGGTCTCAACTGCATTATTAGGCCTCTCTGGTTTTTTTCCTCCTGTTAATCTGTCTCATATCAATTAAAGTCTTAGACCAGATGGAAGAACTTTGATGGGTAGAAGAAAATTTGAATTCCTCCCCTACAAATACGAATTTTGAAAGGCAAATGATGGCCATGTTTCCTGGATCACTTCTTCCTGCCTTGGGGAGGTACTCTACTGAATTTGATTATGGTACATACTGTGCTTACTTTTATAAATTAATTTAGGGCACTACTGGGTGCAAATTGTTAGAATTTCAGTTACATCACTATCCCATTTGCAGACACTTGGCTTTATCCATGAAGCACTATATATTTATAAAATTTGAATTAAGCAATATTGAGTTAATTTTATTCAGTTTAGCACAAATTTTGCAAATGTATACAAATCTCTACAAACATACTGAACACATTTTATATAGAAATGTAAACATTTAAAAGTAGAGCTTGGAATGATAAAAAGTAGTAAAGTTCCTCTTAACTGATAACATGTTCCCTACAATTTGCTTTCATTGTGATATATTATCTTTTTTACATCCTAGGTAGAAGGAATTTAGCAACAGAAAAGGGTTGGTTGCACTACGTTCAGAGTAATGAGAAATACAGTGGTGAGACCGTTAATTTTTGTTTTGTTTTGCTAAACACTTATTGATCCAATTACAGCATACACTAACTGTTTTTTACATTTTAGGGTTGAAACCCTGAGAAACCCATGGAGGAAACTGTTTAGCACTGAGCAGAGTTCAGTGTATGCCTATGTTCCCAGAATTAAAGCATCTTGTAATTTTTGAGTATGGTAATTGCAGGCTTTCTCAAATATTAGACTACCTTATACCTTACCTATTTTACCAGAGTAATTATTTAGGCTATTTAGTATAGTCACTTTGTTTATAATTTGGTATAAACAGATCCTTTTTTCTTTTCAGGAATTATTAAGCTCTGTCGGTGCCACTGCTGAACCTTCCTCAGTTCCAGAGGCTTCTTCTGGCATCTGTAGCTCTTGACAGTGGTACTTCACTTTAAGTGGTTTACCAGGGTACCAGACCAAGTGAATACGACAGGGAATGATTTCCTAGAAAATAAGAGTTCTCAAATATTGTGATCTGCAGAAATTTCTGGTGAACATAGTTCTGTACTGTAGGAGTGCTGGCCATACTGACTCCGCCTCTGGCCCCCTGTCTTGTTCACGTCCGGGCAGTGACCTCCCTCGGGAACATGTTCCAGGCCCCTCGGAGGTAATGTGTGCCCTGCGCCGAATGCAGGGAGGCTTGTTTTGATCACTAGTAGAGATCCCCCCAACCCCGCACAGATGGTGCCATGAGGTCTGTTAAAATATCAGACCCCTAACCTCACCACAATGGCCACTGCACATCCCCTTGTTCTATCAGATCTGTGAATAAACAGTCTGGACTTTGCAGAGAAGAGCTGCGCAGTGCCTCGATCCCTGCCTGCCGACCCCCCTTGGCAACAAGTTACTCTGAATCAAACTCTATGTAAATGTGGAGCTGCCTGCTTTGCTTTTTGGTCTCAAGGAGCCTTCTCAGTTTGGACCATACTTTACTGCCCCCGTCCCCCCACACCGTGTAACATACATTCAATTTTGTTTTACCTGTGTCGAGAATTCATGGAGTAGAATGGTATAATCAAAATCAACTCCATCATCATTTGTTTTCTAGAGAAAGAGAAAAAGAGTGAGTGTAATAAATAGGGTAGATTTATGTTAGTTCAGAGTTTGGAAGGCTTATATCTTAAATTCCTGGTTGGATGAGTGCCTTGAAATCTCCTGCTGCCTCTTCAATTTGAGCCTCAGTTCCTCTGGTAGAAGCCTGCATTGAGATATGAAAGTCATGGATTCTCACTGTTTTGTCACCGAGTTAGATGAAAATCTAGTTGAATATCTTTCCATCACTTTTGCTCTCTAATAAGTATGGTTTTGGTAGAGGCTAAGTTCTGTGGGAACAGGGAGAATCTTTTGACAACCTTTGGAATCTAGATACTGTCTATGCACCTCCATTTGAATATGTTAGCCTTGATATATATGTTTAAAAATTGGTTTTACTTATAAACTTGAAGTGTTTTTTTCAGGACAGTGCCTTCTTAGTCTGTTTTTGAAAATAGCATTTCTGGAGGAAATCATAGCAGTCCCTAGATTTTAGGCAAAAAAGAGGAAATCCTGAAACAAATGATGGGTTTCCAACTCCATTTGATAAACTACTTTGCTAAATACACTGAGTGTTACGTATTTTTTAATACAAAAACTTGGGTTATTATAATGTTTGTAAACCCTGTGCCATTTAATTAAGACCTTCCTCAATAACATTATGAAACCTTTCCATTTTTGTTTTTATAGATTATTCTTCCTCCAGGAGGAAGCACCCTTACACCAACCCTACAAAACTGCAGCAGGGGACACTGCACGCTCCGGCCTGGCAAAGTAGCCCAGGCTTGGGCTGCCCTCACCAATGCAAGCTCTGCCAAGTAGTAATTATTTTTAATGTTATTCAGAAATAATCTCCTTGGCTTCTGTTCAAATTATCACAAATGCCAAATCCTTATAATCCAAATTGATGATTTACTGTTACATTTTCCAGTAACTCAGCACTTTAATCTTCCTAGAGACAGACTAGAAGTGTTTTGTTTGTGCCCTTTTATTACTCATGATCCCCACCAGAACCCGTGTGGTTTTAGTAGAGAGTAAGCAGGCTTAAATTATTAATATATACCATCCAAAGTAGACTTCCTACTCGACTAAATAATAAGGTCGGTAAGAAGGCTTCTATAATGCACCCTTGGTTGCGGGGGGGCGCCTCCAGGCAGGGTAAGGCCTCAGGCTGGTTGCTACAGGATAATTTGGGGTGCTGACAGTGTCTGGTATTGACTCTTAAGAGTTGAAACAATGCTTTTACTTTTCTCAATTCATATTAAAGGCTAAGGGTGTGAGGAAAGTCCTCATCTGTTTTTGTTTGTTTTTGTTTCTCTAGCCAGCAAATATCTATCTCCCTTGCCCTTGGTACAGTCGTCATGGCATTAGGAATGGCATCTGTCCTCAGTTCTAAAGTGGTAATTGTGCCGGTCAGTATTTTAGTCTTGTTCCTCCCAGGCCTTGTTCATCTGGAGCTATGAGTTTGTAACCCTGCCCTTCCTTACATTATTGCATTAAAAGGGGACTTTAACCCTGAGTGTAAAGAAAGTAATTCCCACTGAAAAAGCTTTTGGAAAAACTAATCTTCACACTTTCCTGAGCCACCTTGAGCCACAGAGCACCTCCAGTCACCTCCTGCCTCTGTACTGTCTTGGCTCTCTCAGCCCTACTATCCTGTATCTAGTCTTCTAGAACAGTATATAGGTCTTTTTTTTTTTTTTTTTTTTTAGAACAGTATATAGATCTGATCGTAGTGACTTTTTAGTTTCTTGTTTTGCTTGTTGCTGGTTGCTTCTTTTGCTGATAGATCATGCGAATCCTTAGTGGCTACACAGTAGCAGAATCCAGAAATCTCTGTGGATATGTGCATACTTTGCTTTAAGGAAACTCTAAATTGTATCAACTTTGAGACCAAATTTACCAATTGCTGCAGTGATTTAGATTTATGTTAATTTCAAGGAATTCATTAAGTTTCTTAATCCTCATTTAATAGGCCCTAAGAGATGAAGTGATTTGCCTTAGGTGGCCCAGCAAGCCAGTTGCATATTCAATTTTTATTTATCTAAAACCCAAACTTCACAGGGTAAAAAAAGCCAAAGCTTCTACTTAAGTGACCATACTCCCTCTGCATTTTTGTTTTCTTAACTCTACAGTTACTTTTATACCAATTTCCCCACCGTAGGTTGGGAGAGTGATATTGATGGACAGATGAGAGGCATCAAAGACTGGCTAGAACAAGACAGAAATGGACCTGCTGTATTTGGACCATACTATGTCCTGGTGGTTGTTGGTCTGCTGATGTGTCATGTACAATTGCCAATGAAAAGAAAACACTGATGTTAAGAGATCCTAAGGAGTAGGAAGAAGGAAAAATAGGAAGATTCCAAGCTCATCTCATTCCGTGGACACAATGAAGCAACAACTGCATGGATTGCAGCTAACTCTGAAAACAACCCGAAGACTGGCAGAGATTGTGACAGCTGGCTGTAGAGAGAAGGCTGCATCAGAAAGAGGTGGAGACATGGTGGGGAACCAGGCCCCTGACAATGACTAATCACAAATGGTAGTGATATCACAAGCACAGAAGAGTGAAAAGATCAGACCTCACACCAGACCCCCTGGCCCTGGGGATCCACCCTGGAAAGAAGAGTCCCCATAATATTTAGCTATGAAATCAGTGGGGCTTAGCTCTGGGAGAGATGGAGGGCTACAGGAAATGAAGCCCTTCAAGAGCCAGGACACTAAATAATAAGGTCCAAGACAGCGCAGAGGGAGCACTTTGCAAAACACCTGGGGTATACTTGAAGGGGATTTATTGACTAATTTTAGGACATCTGCCAAAGGGATCTACAGGAGATTTCTCCAGGAACAAAAGTGGTGGATGCCATTTTCTTGCCCTCCCCAGCCTAGGGAGCCAGATGCTTATGGGAGCCAGTTCTAATACTTTCTATCTACCTTGCTCGGACCCTGTGCCCACCCTGGAGTTCCCCTGCAGACCCACCACACCCAGCAGGCAACACTGGTAAGAACTGGTGCCCCTCCTAAGCGACTCCTGCCCTGGGGACAGGAGGCAGAGATAACCCTACAAACCAGCATGCCCACAGTTCTTGGGGCTGGGCCTCTTTGCTGACTATGCAGGGAGGAGGCCCTGTACTTTGGGGTGCCCACAGCTTCTGCAGTGGCTAACTGCATCCAGCCATGCTGAGGACCGGCCCTGCCCACCGGTGACCCCACAACTGCTGTAGACAGGACCCTCAACAGCATGGAGAGCAAATCCTGCCCTGTGTGCCTGCAACAGATGCGCTGAGGGCCATCTGAGGGCCAACCAGTGGCATGCCCACAGCAATCACACCTTATCAAAAACAGAAGGGTACATGCAGCCCACACAGGGGACATCCCTGGAGCACCCAGTTCTGAAGACTCGGGTAGGGGGATTGTGTACAGGACACCACAGGACTGCTTCTACACAAGACCACTAATTTCAAGACCAGAAGACTTAGACAAAATGAGGAGACAGAAGAATATATCCCAAATGTAAGAATAAGACAAAATCACAGAAAAAGAGATCAAAGTAATGGCCATAAAGAAACTCACTGTACTTGAAAAAAGTGGATGAACTCAATGAGAACTTCAACAAAAATGATAGAAAATATAAAAAAGAACCAGAGATGAAGAATTCAATACCTGAAATGAAAAATACCCTAAAGGAAACAGCAGATTAGAGGAGGCAGAAGAACGGATCAGTGACCTGGAAGACCAGGTAAAGGGAAGCACCCAAGCTGAACAGCAAAAAGAAAAAAAGACTAAACAATAAGAGTAGGTTAAGGGACCTCTGTGACCTCATCAGGCATAATTACATTGGCGTCACAGGGATCCCAGAAGGAGAAGAGAGGGGAAAAGGGGGTAGAAAACTTATGAAAATAGCTGAAAACCTCCCTAAATCTGAGGAAACAGACATCCAAATCCGGAAATCACAGAGAGCCCTAAATAAGATGAACAAAGAATGTCCACACCAAGACACATAATAGTTACAATGACAAAAAGTGATGACTAAGAGAACTTTTAAGGCAGCAAGAGAAAACAAATAGTTCCACACAAGGAAAACCCCATTAGGCTGAGAGCTAATATTTCAGCAGGAACTTTGCAGACCAGAAGATGGTATGATGCACCAAAGTGCTGAAAGGAAAAACAAAACTATAACTAAGAATACCTGACAAGGTCATCATTCAGAATTGAAGGAGAGATAAAGATTTTCCCGGACAAACAAAAATCAAAGGATTTCATTACCACTAGCCAGCCTTAGAAAAAAATGTTAAAGGGAATTCTTTAAAAAGAAAAGGCCATAACTAGGAGAAAATGATGAAAATTTCACTGGTAAAAACAAATAGTAAAGGTAATAGATTAGTCACTAATAAAACCAGTATGGAAGTTAAAATGCAAAAGTAGTAAATTCAATTTATCTACAAGTTAGTCAAGAGATACTAAAAAATATGCAAAATAAGAGTAAAAATTTAGTGCTTTTAGAATGTGCTCAAACTTAAGTGACCATCAACTTTAGATTGCTATACAAATAGGATGTTATACATGAATACCATGGTAACCACAAATCAAAAATCTGTAATAGATACACAAAATGTAAAGAGAAAGCAATTCAAGAATAACACTAAGGAAAGCCATTAAGCCACAGGGGAAGAGAGAAGAGAAGGAAGGAACCCAGAGAACTGCAAAAATAACCAGAAAAAAAAATTAACAAAATAGCAATAAGTATATGCCTATCAATAATTACTTTAAATTTAAATGCTCTAAAGGCTCCAATCAAAAGACAGAGGGTGACTGAATGGATAAAAAAACAAGACCCAACTATATGCTGCCTACAAGAGACTTGCTTCACACCTAAAGACACATGCAGACTGAAACTGAAGGAATGGAAAAAGACACTGCATGCAAATGGAAGTAACAAAAAAGCCAGGGTAGCAATACTTAGACAAGATAGACTTTAAAACAGACTGTAGCAAGAGACAAAGAAGGGC